AATTTCGCTATCTCCCTTAAATTCGGAAATATTTCTGGAAAACTGAACTAAAAACTAAATTGACTTAAACCGTTTGACCACTTCGCTACTGAAATGATGACAAAGCTTACATTCGGAAAGCAAATATCAATTGGTGACCTTAAATCACGCATTATACATATGTCAGGGTTCGAGTTACATCTGGGAGAAAAATGGTGAGCTCGACGGATATCTCGGGGAAATTCTGAAGGAACTATCTCTAACAATGAACTTCACCATATCAGCCCTCATCAAGGAGCCTTACTACGGAAGCTACGATCCGAAAACCTCAAAGTGGACAGGTGTAATCGGTCGAATTGTCCAGCACGAGGCTGATATGGGTGCTTCTGAATTCACTCTGAGTCATGAACGAATAAACGTGGTTGATTTTACAATTCCCATTGCGATTGGCGACTGTCGACTCTACGTCAAAAAACTCGACGGCGCTCGATTACAGTGGAATGCCTACTTTGGGGTACTCATTAAAGTAGTATAAACATAACTTGAATTTTGAAGATTAGTCTTACGAGAAAATGAGCTTTTATAGGTCACGGAAAAGATGGAAATCTAGTAAAAAATCTGGCAAAATCATAAAAAATAAATAAAAATCCTATGCCCAATATGAAAACTATAATGAGTGTCAGTGGCTTTTATAATGAATAATTTATGTTTACGTGTCCGAAATGGCGTGTTATGGCGAAACACCCTAGTCGAACGAGCGACTATTGTTTTAAAAAATAATTGAAGAAAGAATTTGATGGATCAATTTCTTACACTCGTCAAAGTTAGAATTCACGGGAAACATTATCAATGATGAATAATTGTTTTTTCGTCTTTTGAATTTATTTTTTTCTCGTTACACTCGATTCAAGTGCAGGTTATTCATACTCCTTTAACGTAGCACAAAAATAATTTGAATTTTGAAGATTTAAATTGGAAATAAATTCTAAACGAAAGTTCATATGAATAGAAACATTCTGGGTGAGATTGTGCTCAATCGGCAGTCTACACTGAGAGAAAAACGACAAAGTTCTCAAACAATTCTTCCTTGTGCCAAGAAAATAGTTTTTTGAAAAACTATTTTAAAATACCTTTTTTGAAAAAAAAAAACTGTTTCCTTTTCAAAAAAGGATTTTTTGTGCTAAACATGCAGAGAGTGCGCCGGAATGAAAAATTGTTGTCGCAAAAATAGATTTAGTAGTTAAAAAAAATGACATCTTCTGTAAACTCAAGAAATGTAATTTCTAGTACTACTTCCTTCTTTATTCAATACTCCCATATGTATTTTGCTCCCGAAAAATATTTGTGTTATGCGAAACAAGGGATAGTAATTTTTCGTTTCGGCTGTCTAATAATCACAGACAAGAAATGAACCCTTAAATGAAACAATAATAATGATATGATAACAATCTCGTAACTTGGGGACAAAATATTTGTTAATAAATTTTCCTCGATATGAGATATTTTCATCCTGAAAAGGCACCATCTAGTATGAATTAATCTAGAAGTACAAAAATAACAGTCTTATGGGAAAATGAACTTTTCGAGGTCAGGGAGAAGATTGAAATCTAGTAAAAAATCTCGACAAATCATAAAAAATAAATAAAAATCCTATGCCCATTATGAAAATTATCCTCGGTGTCCGGATTTTGTAATACATAATTTATGTTTCTGCGTACCCGAAATGGCGTATTATGTCGAAATACCCTAGTCGAACTAGAGACTATTGTTCTAAAAAATAATTGAAGTGAGAATATGATGGATCAATTTCTTAGACTCATCAAAATTAGAATTCATGGGATAAATTGTCAATGATGAATCATTTTGGTTCTTTCATTTTTTCTCGTTATACTCAACGACTCAACTGCAGTTTATTCATGCTACATTAATATCCCTCGGATTTGATAAATGTATTCTGTCATTTGCATGATTTGAAAATTGGTAATTCATCTGCAGGCGTTCAAAGCGGATGTCTGGGCTCTCATTATCGGCTCAATTATCGTCACGCCGATTGTTTTGACTGTCATAAAATACACGAAGAAGAGGAGACACGCGTTTTCCATGGCCATTGAACATTATTTGTACGTTTGGGGAATTTACTGCCAACAAGGATTGTCAGGTAATAGAGAAAATTCGATGGATTTTCGGTCTCAACAATAATTAACATGGAAATATTGTTGGATAGAATTCCCGGATGAAACGGCCTTGAGAATTTTGTATGTCTCAATATTCATATCTGCGTTGGTCGTGTCAGCTGCGTATTCCGCGTCGCTAACTAGTTTCCTCACTGTGGCTTCGATTTATTTGCCATTCAATTCAATGGAGGAATTTGCTAATGACGGTCGTTATAAATTGATTGTCCTTCAGGACAGCGCTGATTATGACATGTTCAAGGTAATCACATTTTAGCAAAATGCATTTTTAATACGCGTGAAAAAATTTAATAGCAAAAACTAGAGAATTCGCTAGACAATTCGATTGAATTTCTATTGAAATATCTATTCGTTTTTGACTGATTCTGTGGAAATGTTCAATGGAAAATATTCTATAGAAAAATAATTTTCCTTGGCTCAAATTTTCTGTCTTTTTCATCCTATTTTTCTTTTTTTAATCGAGACAAGAAAATCAAACAAAAAAAAATTTGGAAAATTTGCGCCGAGGAAATTCCATAGAAAATATCTTGATAGAATAAGTTGTACAGAAAAATTGGATTATATTCACTTTATCTATAGAATACTTAGATTGAATACTTCTTTTATAGAATACTAATACTTCAATAGAATCGGCCAAAAACTAATAAAGGGTTCAATAGAAATACCGTAGATTTGTCTAGTAAATTCGCTAGGTTTTTCCATTAAATTTTTTCATACCATTCGAAAATGCAATGCGCCACGTATGAAAAAATTAACAGAAACATCGAGTCGCTTTTTCTGAAAAATTCTACTGAATTAAAATAAAAATGATTTAAACATAGTTCTGTTGGAATTCTGTAAGAATCCATTGAAGTTCTGTTGGAATCCAATTTTTTGTGCCAATTTTTCTGGCTATTTTAGCGTAAATTTTTTTGGGTTTTTCGCTGTATTTTTATTTGTTTTCATACTAAAGTCCAAGGAAAAATCTGAACAGAATGAGTTCGATAGAAAAATCGACTTGTATAGATTTTGTCGTATAAGGAAATATCTATTTAAAAACGAGCGGGAAAGTCGCATAATTTTCAATAGAATTCCAATAGAACACGAAATATTAATAGAAATTGAAATCTTTCATATTGAATTTCTATTGAAACCTATAAGAATTCTTATGAAGTCCGATTAGAATTCTATTTTTATGCGCCAATTCTATAGAAGGTTATGCAACTGTAGCGCGTCATTTAGTTAAGAGATATTTGATAGACAAAGTCTATAGATTTTTATTATTCTATAGAAATTCTTAGGCGTAAGTTTTTTACACTGCATTTTTATTTGCTTTTCACAATAAAATATAAGACAAAAAAACTGAAAATTCTTACCCAAGAATTCTTCCTCTATTAAAAAATTTGTGACACCTTTTTTGTCAGCAATCTATTTCGCCAGGGATAACCTTAAGCCTAGGAACAAGGATAATCTTTGCTTAAGATCCTGGATTATACAAATCTTGGTTTTATATTCCTTTTTAAAAAGATATTTTCTGAAAAAATAAGACAAAAAATTAAAAAAAAAAACTTTTTATTAAGAGGCCTAATAAAAATAAAATAAGAAATTGAAAATTGAAAAATATCTTCTTTTAAAAAGATGAAGAAAGATTTGTATAATCAAGGATCTTCAGCAAAGATTAACTAATGAGTGGGTTCTGTTCTGGATTCTTTACGGAATAATTTAACTCTCTTGTGACATGAAGCAATCATTTAGTGTGAAATAATATAAGTCTAGCTGTAAAAAGTCATGGTAGAAACGTGACATTAAATTATATGATCCTTTGATTGTTTATTGTTACTTTTATTATTTTCAAAAATAAATTAAAGGATAAAAAATACAATGAACCAGTAGCTTAAGTACGCGGGCGCGAAGAGCGCGTTCCTTTTCTAGTATAGAAAAAATAAAAAATTCCTAACGGAATGAGTTCTATAGAACAATCAACACCTATAGACTTTTTTTACAGACAAATATCTAATTAAAACGCAGGGAAAAGTTGCATAATTTTTAATAGAATTGGCAAAAAAACAAATCGAATTTTTCAATAGAACTCTCATCGAGTTCCAGAAAAAATTCTATAGATTTTCTTAGAGAAAGTTCTGGGTTTTTCTATTGAGTTTTTTCATACACAATTTCTTGGTCCTTTTTTATTCATAATTTTTCCTATTCACTAGTCCCGAGTTGACAAAATTTGTCATTTTTAAATTTTTTTACTAAATTTCAGACTCGTTGAAATTTTGTCAACTCGATTCTATTAATATCCATGCATATTTCATAGATGTCTAATGAAACAATTATGAAGAAGATGATGTCCCTGATGAAACCAAGTCACTCACTACCTCAAACTATCCTAGGAGGCTTACAGCAGGTATTTCCTCCACTAGACCCCATAACACTTCTTCTATTTTTTTAATCAAAAACCACGACTTAGAAACTACTAAATCAATGAGGAAATCTTTAAAGAGGCGTATTCTGTGGAAAATGAAATAATTCCGATGTACAAGCTCACTCGCTTTCATTCATCTATTAACAACAGCACATGTGAAATCCTAACGGCATTATCTTGCAGATGCTCATGATATCCCTAGAATTTACCGTCGCAATTTTCATTTTTTTCTAGAAATGAATTTTACGATAATGCCCGAGTGCAAGCAATTTGCACTAAGAGGCCGCGGTAGTAAAAAAAACTGAAATGTGGAGAAATCATTGCGGCAGGAATCCTCGGTCAAAGAGAAAGGAAAAAATCTGAAGTTTAGCTTAAAAAATTGTTTTTTTTTCTGTGAATTGGATCAATCGAGTTGAAGGTGATGTGGAGAAGATAAATATGTTAAAGGATGTTTAAAAATACGACGTAGTAGACAGGTGTGGGCGCCGCCATCTTGCTAATTCCTCTGCCCTTAAAGTGCTTTAAAGATGGAGGCGCCTCCACCTCGTACTTTAGAACATTTTTTAGAATTATTTATCCTCTTTCGATCACCCTCAACTCGCTTCACTCCATTTCTATAAAAGGAACAATTTTTTTAAGCCTTCTCTTAAATTTTTCAGTCTCTTTTCCTCTGAAAATTCATGGCGCAATGTCTTTCCCATATTTCAGTAGCTTTTTTTTCACTTCACGAACGAAAAAATTTTATAGAAAAATCTAGCGATCTCAATAGAAAATTCTGTTATTTTTTTTTTCAATAAAAAATTACCAATAGAAACTTTATCTTTCTATACAAATTTTTCTATTGAGACATTTACTACAGGAATTTATCGACATGAATTTTGCAAGTTTTTTCCACTCTATTTTCTTCGCTTTTCATTAAAAAAATTAAACAAAAAATCTTAGAAAATTTATACTGAGGCATTTCGATAGAAAATATCTCAATAGAATAAGAAGTATTGAAAAATAGAATTTTATTGGTTTTATTTATGAAATATTGATCATTAAACATTTCTACTTTAAAAACGCGCAGATGTGCTGCGGAATTTTTCTATAAAATCAGCCAAAAACTAATAAAAAGTTCAACAGAGATCCAATACAATTTTCTAGCAATTTTCTTTTTATAAAAATTTCTAGGAAAAATTTTTCTATAGAAAAAAACTGTGGAATTTCATTTTTCTATACAAATTATTATATTGACGCATTTTCTGTAGGAATTCCTCGATATGAATTTTCCAAGGTTTTTCCACTCTATTTTTATTTTATTTTCATTAAAAAAAATTTAATAAAAAAATTAAGAATCTTGAGCCGAGGCATTTCTATGGGAAATACTTCGATAGAATAAATTGCCTCGCAGAATCGAATTCACTTGATTCTTTCTATAGAATACTCTCCATCGAACATTTCTTTAAAAAAAAAAGTGAAATTCTTCAATAGAATCGGTCAAAAATTAATGAAAAATTCAATAAAAATCCAGTAGAATTTCCAGCGAATTCATTAAGTTTTTCAATTGAATTTTTCTGTACGTGTTCCGAGGTCTCTCAGTGAAAGATGTACATTCTGAATTAATGTTCACAGGTCTGCACTAGGAAAGTGGCGTTTTACACAAACGAAGCACTGAAGAGAACCCTCAACAAAAATTTACCCTGTGACATTGTATCCATAAAAACCGGAAAAATCGAGACCCTAGGCATGATCATGTCTCGTCACAGTGAATACATGGGAATCGTTAATTATCAGTGAGTTGAATCCAATCTGAGAATGCAAATTCCCGAGATTTAAGTGGGATGATTATTCACTGAAACGCAATTTATTCAAGCATCCAGCGATTCAAAGACAATGGAATGCTGATGCGACTGCAGCACAAGTACATTCAGCAAGAAGACACGAGTGAGGGTGCTCTTCTGCCTGTTGGACTGGGGGGCATCGCACCAATTCTATTTGTTTTAATTATTGGCTTCTTCGTCGCCTTCTGTATCTTTCTCGTCGAAATCATTTTTCCGCCCATCAGTGACAAATTGTTCAAACGGAAAAAGAGACGATTGAATGGACAGAATTTCCAGTATTGAAGTTTCTACTGATTTCATGGAAAAATATTTTTTTTTTCATTCTGAAGACAGCTGTACTTTCAAAAAAAATTGTTTTTTAATTAAATGAATGATTTATTTGATCCAAATGAAGAACTATTATATGTGCATAAAATTCATTTTTAACTAATAAAGTTTTTATTCGGAATAATGGAACAGTTATTATTTATTTAAACATTCATTTATTTATTTATTTTATTTGTTAATATGAAAATAACTATTCATTTTATGTGAATGTAAATGAAAACAAAAAACAAGTTTAATGAACAAGTCAGAATGAAAGCTTTATTCTGGATTTAAAATAAAATTTTGTTTTCATTTCGAAGATAACACGCTTCTTTCAAATTTTGTTATTCCCTAACGTATGAAAACATGCAACAAAAAAAACCGAGTGCCGCAAGAAAATAATGTTTAATATTTAAAAAGTTAAGTGGAATCCAAGCGAAAAAATATATAATTCTTCAATAGAATTTTTTAAAACTCCAATAGAATTGTTACAGAATTAGAATACAATTTCTACCCGAACTCTAAGAAATGTTGATAAATTCATTTTTAACCAACAAAATTTATAGGGGAGGGTGGGGTAAAATGGACACTAGATTCTTTTAAAATGATTCATAACTCAGAAACAAATTTATCAATTGAGCTCAGTTTAGGCTCGCCACAAAGGGAAAGAATTGTTCTTTGTATTGAAAATTATTAAATTTTATCAACATTTCAACCCCTCATTAACATTTTAAAAAAAGTCAAAAGTGTCCGTTTTCAGACATCTACTTATATTATTAAATAAAAAGCTATTAGTAATAAGTACTGTTTAGTTTTTATTTTATCATTTTCCAAAGTAAAATAATATAAAAAAAATAAAGCAAAATCCAAGTGAAATAAATTTCGATAATTCGTGCTCAAGAATTTTTATAGGCAAAATTTCAACAGAATGAGTTCTATAGAAAAATCAATATCTCCAGGCGTTTTTCTATAAAAAATACTTTTAATAGAATTGGAGCAAAAAAGTATATAATTCTTCAATTCTTTAGAACTCCACCAGAATTGTTACAGACTCCAACAGAAATTGAGTAGAATTTCTTGTAAAAAGCGTTAATTTTCTCAATAAAATATTTTCATGCGTGCCTCCACCAAAAATCCCACACCTTTGATCTTCCCAATATATTTGTTTTGACTCAATCCCCAGAGTCATTATTTTTGGAGAGGTTCACTGCACCCTAATAACGGATATGATTGAGCACGCTTGGTTTCAACTTCCGTTGGAAAGCGGAAACGACCTCCGAGTACTAAGAGCGTTTCATTAAGAATCTTGCCTCGTCCACTGTAACATCTCCACCCAACGCACCACAAAATATTCACCCCAAACACATGTTATCAAACCGTGAAGACTTATAAAACCACATAGCACACGTGCAAGTCAAGCATCGAACCATTTATGGTATCGTGAATAGCGACACTAAAGAGTGTTTTCCCCTCTTCTTTTTTTGTTGCAATCTGCAGGCAGTCGACCTTGATGATTAGCCGATCTCTAAACCTGTCTAAACGCAGCCCACACGCGTGTGTTGTCAGACCGATTGGTTTTGGCTCGATAAATTCTAATACGAATTCATCGACTCCATGAAATTAGTGCCTAATATTCAGTGATTTACGACCTTTCGCAATGAGCAGTCCTTCGGGGAAGACTATTTTAACCGTTGATTGACGAGTTTCTCCGGGACAATTGGATGTTCAGGCTGTTTGACGAGCTGATGACTCTGGAGAAAGGTGTGTCCGTGTTATTACTATGACATTAAAATTCCTCATCTTCACGGATTGAGAATGAACAAGTCAGATTGAATGAATAAATTCGTACGAACTTTTTTTTCGTTATATATATTTTTGTTTTGGTTTCATTTTATTTTCATTTTTTTTGTGAGTGCATTTATTTCATTTTTTTTGCTTCCGAATGGAAGCCTTGTTTTTGACCGACTTTTCAATTTTCTAATTTTGATTGCAAATGGTCTAGCATGTTATGAAACGTGAAGAAATGAGATTTTTAGGGTCATGTCTGTATGTGTGTGTATCCGACAATTTGGGTTTTTGGTGATTAATTTTTAGATTATTCAATATAAATACGGTGAAATTTGCTGATAAAAATCTGAAATTTTGGTTCATTGGAGCTATTATTGCTCAACTTTGGTGCGCCGTTTCCGCCCAATCGATCCAGTTGTTCCTGAGATGTAATAACTTGTTTAAATTTCGCTTTCCCTCAATATCTGAAAAACTACTGCACCGACTTCAAATTTTGTTTTCAAAATACTCGTCTCGATGGCCTCTATGGAAGCCAATCAGAATATATAAACTCTTTAATACACAGTTTAGAGATATTGTCGTTTTTCCTTTTTTCATGAAAAATTTTGTACGCACGATAACTTGAGAAAAAAAGGAGATAGAAAGTCGAAATTTAGTATGGTTCTAGCTCTTATAGGGGAGGGTGTGCCTGTACCGCCCACCTAAGGGGAAATGCCAGTTTTATATTTTATATTTCAACTTGAGTATAAAAAACGTATTTGTGAGACTTCTTTAACTATTGAACTCGTTATTCTCGAAGTGTAGACGCCTAATTCTCCTTAGAATCCACAAAATTGATCGAAAATAAAAGAGAGAGCCTATTGAGCGGTACTACCCGCCGTCGGGTAATACCGCTCGGCACGATTTCAATACTGCTCATAGGGTTTTGCGTGTATTGCTCGCGCCACAATCTAACCTGTACTCGAGTGCTGTCGAGCAACTACGTGGCCGATCCTATGAGCGGTATTACCGGCTCCACTCGGCGTCAACAAAATTGTTGATAATTATTGACATGAGTGGAGTTTTTAGTTCGAATTGGTCTCAAATTGCGCCTGAACGTACCACGAATCGAATAACCACAGTTTAATATGAGAATTCAGCGTTTGAAACTATCAAAAACCTTAATTACAAGTCCACAAATTTTGCACTGTAAAGACCTCAAACCTTCGTTACGTGTTTTTTCACATCCTATCATCAAATTTTTCATGATCAGGAACAGAAAGAAATTTTCAAGTTGATGGTTGTGGAGAAAATCGGGTGAGCGGTATTACCCGCTGAGCGGTACAGGGACACCCTTCCCTAATAATAAAGGTTGGTATTTTTGATGGGCGCAATCGGCCCAACGGTTCCTGAGATATAGAACCGAGGGTTGACTCACTCCGAAATCACCAAGATGACTGAAATCAAATGATTTTAGCTCTCCGAAATCATCTCCGAAATCATGAAATCGTCTGAAATCAATGAAATCGCCGAAATCACACTGGCGTAGTGCGGACCGTGCAAGTAATTCGTTTCTTTGAAATTGACACGTCTGCCAACGATGATAATAAAATGCCGTACTCAATGCCATAGTAAAATGGACCGCTTTTCATCGTCATTAGCTCAAGATTGGCGGAGTGGAATCAAACGAATTCGTTATTATTTGCCAGTTATTATTGCCAGTTTTGATTTTCATAATTTGACAACTCGCTTGCTCCACCTCTACTATTTATCAACTTTATTTTTCTGAAATCACTGATTTCGAATTAATGAAATCATTGGAAATTATAAAATCACCTGGCGTGACGCTTGAAATCACCGTGTAGCGAATTCGCTGTTTTGAAGAAGCGTGAAATTTTTAACAACGACAAAGACTCTTCACTGACAAATCAGTTAATTTCTTGAATTTACAAGATGAATGAGAAATATTGTGAACGTTTTCATTTGAAATTGAGCGCAAACTCACATCGAAAATTCAAATGATGCTGTGACTGAAATTTCACGGAATGTTTAACCGTGCAAACTATTAGAAATTTTTTGAAATTTCATGGAAGATATTATAGTAAATCTCATGAGAGTGGCATTGAATCGGAATTGCGGAAAACATGATATGAATTTTCAATTTTTCCCGGAGTTTTCCTGATTTTTCTGAATTTTCACAGAATAATTGACCTGAAAATCAAGTATGTTATTGATTTCCAGATCATTTGAACAGAAAATCAATGGAATATTTCATTTTTCAATGACAAAATTTTTTGAAATGTCAGTGGAGCTTGAACACGATAAAAATTTCTGGAATTTGGCACGGAAAATTCAGACAAAAATTTTTCACAGTGCAGGAAATTTGCTGTTTTGCTATGAAAATTATTCATGAAATTTTTTCATTACATGATCCATCAGCATCATTAATGTCACGTGACCTTGACAGAACATTGAAGATAATTCCGAAGATGTCTTTAATGCGCCTCGACATCTCCGTCCGCCGCTTCCAAAACCCCTCGACATGTCGATTGACACACAGTAACAGTCGCAGAATAGTTAATGACCGGGCAGATCCGTCCGTCAAACCAACGGATTCCGCTGCAACTCGGTACTGTCTCCTCCCTGCACACCTGTGGAATTGCGTTATGCCCAATCAAAGAAGAGGTGTAGTGAGTAGGCAGATATCCTGTATGCTATATCGTAGATACCGCATTACTTCACACTGCTTGCTGTTCACGCGTTGCTATTCCTCTATCGCCTCTACCTTGTTACGTTACACTGCGTTACAGTGTACCTCTGGAGTCAGTAGACATCGCGCCATCAGTCGAACAACACCATCTCAAGACTTTATTCAACGCTTTTGACAAATCGTCAGTCCCATGAGTTGTCGGGGTCGAATGAGCATTTGTGAATAGTGGATACTTAAATGGGATTTTACATCGTGCACTATTAGGAAGGTGTCGACGTTATCTGTTTCTGTTCGCTTGACGTCCTGCGATCTCTGAATTCTCAATTGGCTTTCAACGGTGAGTGCCAACCAGCATTAACATATCCGTAAAACCCTTCCCACTTCTGTCGTAATGTCTCTCGCGTCCCACACGCCTTTTCCCGGAATTACCACCTAAAGAGCGCCATGAATTTTCATTTGGGGGATTGAAACTCTCTTTTTTCTAATGTTTATTTATAAAGTGATACAAATGCTTCGGGTGAAGGTGATGAGTAAATAGCTGGGAGGATACGTCAAAATTCAGAGACGCAGCTAACATCAGGACTTATAGAAACAAATGGACACTGACATTTTTTTTATAAATAAGTACAGTAATTGTTGCTAATAAATTAGCAATTTGCTTCCGAATGGCTTCTTTTTTTTACAATTCTTATTTCACTATTCTCTTCTTCTATTTTTTCATGTTATGGTATTGTCAGCAATTTAAATGTCATTAAAATTTTAGGTATTATTTCGTTCTGTCAAATGATTCTACATTCTGATCCTCTCAAGACTCGAATTCGTTTTCAGCCCGGGTTTAATCAAGGTTTAATCAGTGTATAGCCGGAGTTTAATCAGGGTTTATCCAGGATTTAGCCAGAGTTGAACACAGGGCTGTCAGAAGTTGGTTGGAATCAAGAATCGATATCAATAAGTATTCAGTATAATAGACTAGGACCTGAGTTTAATTAACGAGAATTCCCTATAATTTTAATAGGGTGAATCGTCCAGTGTTCGAAGGAATAAGGTCAGTTATTTTTGACGTAGATTTAAAAATATAACCAAATCGAAAATTGATTTAAAAATAATTATAACTCCTCTGTACATCTCCATAGATAATAGAAAAAAATATTATGGATATTAATTGATGATACAATTAATGATATGAATACAAAAAGCTGAAAATGTGTGAAAACCCAGTAATCGAAATGCGTATTCTGTAATGGGAATATGCGGAAAACTGTTTTTTCCGCTGGTAATAAGGTAACTTAGAAATTTTCAATCATCACAATATCATTTGGAAATGTCATAATTTTATTTTTCATGTATAATGCGAGGCATCTCTACCTTCTACTAATTTATTTTATAGAAAAAGTACCAATTAGTTCGATTACCGGTCTGGTTCGAACACTGGTTGGAATTTCTCGACAATTTTGGCTGATTCCATTGAAAAATCCTGTAGCTCATCTATAACTTTTTTCATTGAAAATGTTCCATGGAAAGTATTTTATAGAAAAAATCAATAGAATTCCATATTTCTATGCAACTTATTCTATTAACATAGTTTCTATAGAAATTCGGCGGCTCAAATTTTCCAAGATTTTATGCCTGATTTTTTCATGAAAAACAAAAAAAATAGAGTGAAATGTACTCAGACACTTCACATCAAGAAACTCCTATAGAAAATCTCCCAAGAGAAACATTTGTAAAAAGATGAAATTCTACTGATTTTTTCTCTAGAATGATTTCTATTGAATAATTTTTATTTACAAAGCGCGCAGTAAAACTGCAGAAATGTGCAATAAAATCCGCCAAATCTAAAAGAATTTTCAATAGACGTTCAGTAGCAATCCAATAGCAGGCGAATAATAGTACGTTATGTCATCAGGAATAAACATGTACTCATGTAATTATAATCCTCGCCTTCCACGGACGAAAAAATTAAATAGAAAAACTTATCGAATTAGTTAGAAAATTCTATTGAATTTCTATTGAACTGTGCTATTAGTTTTTGGCCGATTCTATTAAAATGTTCAATAAAAAAAGTCAATAGAATTCAATTTTTTTGTATAACTTATTCTATTGAGATATTTTTTATAGAATTTCCTCGGCTCAAATTTTCTAAGTTTTTTCGTTTGATTTTCTTTTTTTTATTGATGTTTGATTTTCTTGATAAGAAGAAAAGAAAAATGGAATGAAAAAAACTTAGAAAATTTGAGTCGAGCAAATTCTATAAAAAATATATGAAAAGAATTAGTTATATAGAAAAATCGAATACTGTTGACTTTTTCTATTGAATTTTTTCTATTGAACATGTCAAGAGAATCAGCCAAAAACTAATAGAAAGTTTAATAGAAATATAATAGAATTTTCTAACGAATTCGATAGGTTTTTCTATTAAATTTTTTCGTACGTGTCGGCTCGGATTATGAAGTCGCATTCGTCAGATAATACTTTTATTGCCGTGTGACATACAATATTTTATGTCATTGGGCCCGAAAAGCGCGATCGAACTGAGCAAAGCGACATAAAAGTGTATATTAATATCGAGGTCACGAAGGCCTTTTAGTGGTGTGACAGTGGAAAATATTCAGTTTTAAGGGGTAACAGAAGGCCATCGTTTCCTCGAAATTTTCAAACAGATTTCCTGATCAAAACTATTAATATTTTTCGAGTCCAAAACCCATTGATCTTCATCATCACCTCCTGGAGATTCACGTATGAAAAAATTTAATAGAGAACCTTAGCGAATTCGCTAGAAAATTCTATTGAAATCTCGAGAAAGTCTGTGGGCATTCTATTAAAATTCTAGGGAATTCTCCTTAAAATTCGATCCGTTTTTTGCGTAGATTCTATGAGATATTTGACAGGAAACAGTCAATAGATTTCGATTTTTCTGTTTGAATTTTTCTCTTGAGATTTTCAACTTCCCGATCCTAAGGGAGGAAGTCATTGTAATTACCCCGAAAATAAAAACTGGAATTTCCATGATTTGTCGACGATTCATAATCCCTAGAATCATCCGGATATGTTTTTGCACTGATAGAACGGATTAGTTATTGTTAACGAATGGATTTTGGTTGGAGGTTAGGGTCTATTCGGTCCCACCAAATGTTCATTCGTTAATAGTTAACGAATGTATATTTGAGGAGCCTTGTTTGACTTGACTTTCGCTATTCAAGTGAACCATTCGTTAACTATTAACGAATATTCATTTGGTCATATTCAACTCTACCATTCGTTAACAGTTAACGAATCTCGTTTGGAATAAATGAATTATTCTATCTCTATGAAAACATGATGTATGCGTGTGTGAATGTGGTCAAAATGTTGTCCAAAGTACCATTTGTTGTTGTTGAGTACCATTTAAAAAATCATGAAATTTCAGGTTTCACCAAAAATTTAGTAAAATTCCAGAATTTTAAGCAGCATAAAGACGAGAATTCCTTAATTTATTTCAATTTTCAGTGTAATCTGAAATTTCATGATTTTTTTCCCCCCTAAATCGCATTCAGTGTCACTGTCCCGAAAAGTCAAGAATATATTTACCGAAATTTTCTGGTTTTCTATTCATTTTCAGGGAAAAATGGAACTGAAATTGACAGTTTCCTTTAATTTTTCCAGAAAATTCTGAATTTTCAATGACGAAATTTCTTGAAATTTCAGTGGTAATTAAATTCGATAAAAATTTCCAAAAAGTGTGCCGGAAAATTCAGACAAAAATTGTTAACAGTGCAGCGCAAACAGCAATTCAAATTTTAACGAGAATTCCCTAGAATTTTAATAGAATCCCAATAGAATTCCAATCGAATTTTCCAGCGAATTCGCCAAGTTTTTCTATTAAATTAAATCATACGTATTAATGTGCTTCGATTTGTAAAAATATAGATAACTTTCGGCAGGAAATGTAGTCAAAATTTTTGAAAATTAGCAGCACTCTGTTACTCCTTGAAGAAAAAATCATTTACAATGTAGGAGAGCTGTGGCTTGCACATTGAATTTTTCATTTTCGCCGAGTGAAAGTACAGGTTTATCATTCCGGTACCATCGATTTTAGTATCTGTAGATCTACGGGGATTTATGTATATACCGATTCGCTCGAGAGTACATAACATTTTTTATTTTTCGCTCTGTGTTATGCAATGAGTTCGGGTAATTTCAGATTCAGGGGATTCAATTGGGGTAATTAGGAAATTATTGACTGCTTGGATATTTTCGGTTTGACTCTGAAACAACGAACTTCGTCACGATTTAAACGATGAAGCTAACATCACGCACGAAAGAAAAATCGTAGAATGATCTAGCCGATTCTATAGAAAAGTCATCTTTCTATACAAATTTTTCTATTGAGATATTTTCTATGAAAATTCTTCTACATTATTTCTCCACTATATTATTCTTCTCTTTTCCTTAGCAAAATAATCATTTCTATAGAAAATATCTCAACAAAATAAGTTGGATTGAAAAATTCTATCGAATATTGAAAAAATTTCCATTGATTATTTTTCTAACCCAAATATCGGGCAATATAATTAGCCCATTCGACATCACGTGGTACAAGCTACAGAGTTTTCAACTGATATTTTTTTCATAATTTTCTCTGGTAGTTGCTATATAAAAAACAAAACATCATGCAGTCGAATTAACCCCTCGTCAAACTGACAGATTGAATTCAATTGTCGTTGTGTTAATTATACAATTTTCGTTTCTCAATTGTGAATTTCGTCTCATGGTCCAATGATATCGCCCGACATTTGGATTCGAAAAATAATTCCCCGAATACCACACGAGCTTCAAAATTAATCGGGCATTTTCCTCAAGGTTCCCTGCATACAAACGAAGTCGTCAAGTTTTTCAGAAAAAATCACTCGTGCTTTCCCACTCGTGATTTTTTAACCTGAAAAACTTGACTCCTTCGTTTGTTTGCAACGAACCTATCGGAAAATATCCGATAATTTTGAAGCTCTTGTGGTATTACAAGTGATTCTATTGAAGAATTCTGCAGCTTTACAGGTGTTTTTTAAATTGCAAGTTTCCAATAAAAACAGTTTATAGAAACAATCAGTAGAATTTCATCGTTATATACAAATTTTTCTATTGAAACCTTTTCTATAGGAATTCCGTGACATGAAGTATCCAACTTTTTTCTACTCCATCTTTTTCTCTTTTCATTAGAAAAAAAAAATCAAACAAAAAAACTAAGGAAATTTGAGCTGAAGAATTTTTATAGAAAAAGTCTCAATAGAATAAATTGTATAGATATATCAAATTCCATTGATTCTTCCTATGGAATATTTACCATTGAACATTTTTATTAAAAAACGCGCAGATAAGCTGCAGAATTTTTCGATAAAATCTGCGAAAAAATAATAGAAAGTTCAATAGAAGTCCACCAGAATTTTCTAGCGAATTTGCTTGGATTTTCTATGAAAATTTTCTGTACGTGCTGAATGATTTTAGGAATAATGACAATAGCGCTGCTTCCACACCCCGGCACAGAGAAAAACAATTTTTATCTGTGGGTGATTCATTGGTAGATTAAGAATTTGTCATTTGGAATAACATGTGTTGAGGTCAGGCGCTGGGGATACATTTCGTCGGCGGGTTTTTTTACATAATTTCATGCGTAAAGTTTTTTCCAGATTATAAGAACAGTTAGTTTTACATGATTAATATATTTCAATCCCTGAAATCTCGAGAGAAATCTGAGAAACTTGATAGAATCCTAGAAGTACTCTAAAATTTTTACGAACTCTTCCGCAATATCTTTTCGCATTCGTCAGAATATTTTGATAGGGTTAGAATCGCCAGGAAATTTTAATGAGGGCATACGTGTCGAGAAAAAGTGTCAGTCGATGTCTCAATTTAAAAAAAATTATATTATTATCATAGTCATACATCTGGATTTTTTGTCTGTCTGATTTTTCCTATTCATTTACTATTTATGTCAAGGATAGTCATAAATTGTCAGTCAATTTTTTAAATTCTTTTTTCATATATTGCGATAGATTGAGTTTTTCAAATTTTTTAGAATTATTTCCGATCGTTTGAATTCTCAATGCAATGGCTTGAAATCGTGCGAGATCGAATGAAACCCTCTATTTGGAATTTCTCTATTCATTTAAACAATTTTTTATTGAAAATTGGTAAAATCGTGTCTTCATTCCAATGAAAATGTTTTGATTACATAGAATGATTAATTCATTCATAACTAAAAGTCTTTATGTTGATTACGGAAACATTTATTTAGTATTAAATAAAAAAAAATTTATTTCGATTAAAACAAGTGGGAAATTGCTTTCGTCACAGCATGGTCAATATATTTTTACTAATAAATTATCAATTTGCTTCTGAATGGAATTTATATGACGATGTATTTCAAATTTGATTCAATGATTCATTGAATCCAACATTGTCCCAACGTTGGCGGCCAATATTGCCTCAACGTTTCCTCAACGTTGGTAAACAACACTACCTCAAAGTTGGCAGCCAACATTACCCCAACATTGCCTCAATGTTGGTAGTCGACAGTACCCCAACATTACCCCGACATTGCTAGTCAACATTGCCTCAATGTTGGTAGTCGACAGTACCCCAACATTACCCCGACATTGCTAGTCAACATTGCCTCAATGTTGGTAGTCGACAGTACCCCAACATTACCCCGACATTGCTAGTCAACATTGCATCAATGTTGGTAGTCGACAGTACCCCAACATTACCCCGACATTGCTAGTCAACATTGCCTCAATGTTGGTAGTCGACAGTACCCCAACATTACCCCGACATTGCTAGTCAACATTGCATCAATGTTGGTAGTCGACAGTACCCCAACATTACCCCGACATTGCTAGTCAACATTGCCTCAATGTTGGTAGTCGACAGTACCCCAACATTACCCCGACATTGCTAGTCAACATTGCATCAATGTTGGTAGTCGACAGTACCCCAACATTACCCCGACATTGCTAGTCAACATTGCCTCAATGTTGGTAGTCGACAGTACCCCAACATTACCCCGACATTGCTAGTCAACATTGCATCAATGTTGGTAGTCGACAGTACCCCAACATTACCCCGACATTGCTAGTCAACATTGCCTCAATGTTGGTAGTCGACAGTACCCCAACATTACCCCGACATTGCTAGTCAACATTGCCTCAACGTTGGCGGTAAACATTGTTCCAACGTTGGCAGCCAACATTACCCCTACATTGGTCACCAACTTTGTCCCAACGTTAAAATTTTTAACCTTTCCCTGAATATTGGTTTCAAAATAAATTTTTTCAACAACATATTCGAACTTCTGACGCCAAAATTGGTGATCCCGATACAAAAAATAGCAAACTTCGAATTTCACAAATACAATGCTTCCATTCAGAAGCAAAAACTATTGATTATTAGCTATAAATAAGACCCAATTCATTTGAATACACCCATTAACTCAATTCAAATAAACCACTTCTCTGAAGTTGCTAAAAAAATTCAGGACGCTGTTAATCATTTCCATTCCAATTTGTTCAGATGGTTTATCGCGGCCACTTGCAGACCGACGACCCCCGAGATGCGCCAAAATTAGTGCGAATGACGCCACTCCGTTCCAGCGGCAGAGGGGACGTCCCTTCAAAGGGTTGGAGGCCACCTCCGACCCATCAAGCCCCGAATAAACTGTCCTTAGGTCCTCCAAAGCTCCGAAACATCAGTGAGATTCGTTCGAGTGTCGTCACAAGACCGCTCAACGCAGGCCTGACGAGCAAAAAAATCGATCAACCGGAGAGGATCGAGAAGAAAGTGATATCGAGCTACAGGCCTCCGATGAACTCGATGCTAGCGAATCTCAGGGACCTGGAGCGCCTCCGAAGCAAGCCCTCCGCCAAGTCGCATTACGAGAGTATTAAATATCACGATGAGAGGGCAACGAGTGCATTATCATCGCGACTTCTCCCAACAAGTGGTTATGAAACTAAGAAATTGAGACCTTTGGAGCCCGTGGGACTGCAAACGCCTCCTAGAAGACACAGGCTGAGTCAACTCGGTCGTATTACACCTCCGAAGGCGTTTGATGATGACAAAAGAGGTGGGGATCTTCTTTCTCCTAAACCCGATATTCTTGAAGGCCTTCTGCAAGAGTCTGACCGACAATTGAAACAATTGCGAGATGATTTTGACGGGGGAATGGCCAAGTATTGTGACAGCGAGTCGGAGAGTGAGTCCACGGATAATCGGAAAGGTCAGTTTATTCAATATACTGGGTGTGGATTAAATTTGGTGTACAATCTTTATCAACGTGCCAAGATTACTTCGACATGAATGCACGTATGGAAAAGTTTAATGGATTTTTTTCATTTCTATTCGAGTTCTTATGGGAATTCTATTGAAAAATTTTATTTTTTTGCGTCAATTCTATTGAACTTTATACAACTCCCCCTGCGTTTTAAATAGATATTTGTTTATTGAGGAAAGTCTATAGACATTGTTTTTTTTTTATATGACTTATTTCAATTTTCATTTTTCTATAGAAATTTTTGAGCATGATTCTTCTTTTTTTTGTTCTAGTTTTGTTATGAGGAACGAATTGGGATTCGAGGGAAAAAACTTGGAAATTTACGCTCAAGAATTTCTATAGAAAAATCTGAATCTACAGACTTGCATAATCTTCTGTAGAATTGGCGCAGAAAACAAATGGAATTCTAATAGAACTTCATGAGAATTCTTATAAAGTTCGAGTAGAAATTGATTATGAAATCTTTCTGTTATTGCATACACAGGTTTAGAAACTGTTTTATAGAGAAAATCAGTAGAATTTCATCTTTCCATGCAACTTTTTCTATTACGAAATTTTCTATAGGAATTCCATAATAAATATGAATTTACCAAGTTTTTCCACTGTTTTACTTGATTCTTCATCAAGAAAATAAAAAAAGAATGTAGAAAATTTCCGCCGGAGAGTTCTGTGGAATATATCTCAATCGAATAAGTTGTATAAAAAATCGAATTCTATCGATTATGTTCAATAGAATATTTTTCATTGAACAGGTATGTTCAAAAAAAAACGCGTGACCAAATGCGTAACGTGACCAAAAGCTCTATTTCTCGGGGTGAAATATAATCAACAAAAGCAATCGAATACACAGAGAAAAATCTGAAGTTCGATTTACAATAAGAAAATAGTTGAGGCATTTTGGTGAACGATACGATTTTTTTTTGTATGCGGCACATAACATTATAGTAACTTCACAAGCGTAATTTTTGCAAATCAAAATGCAAATCAAATCTATCGTGAGGAGAACTATAAAATAGTTGCAATGACTACATTCCATTGTAGTAATTATCTCCGGCCATAGTTACCGTATAACCCATGAAAAATTGTTGAGAACTTTTTGACTATAATTCAATGGTGATGGAATATAGTCAGAAGAATTATATTTTTCTCAGTGTAGAAGTACTAATCAATAAAAAAAAATCAAAATTTTTTTGACGGTTTTACGTAAAAATTCTCAAGTTGAAATTCTCCATTTCAATTAATCAAACGTATCGCAATAAAAAATTGCGGTCATAAAAAAATTCCAGCGATGTCAGAAATATTGCGTTTATCCCCCGAAACCCCTTTACCTCCAACAAATTTAAATTGATTAAGATGCATTTCTGAGCACCCTTGAGTTACCCTCACCCTTATTGTCCTTCAGATTCAAATATTGATCCAGCCCCCCTCCCCTATGTCTCCAGATAAAACTGAATCAAAAGTAGCAATCACTTGATAGAAAAATTTAAAAAAGTTTGAGTGTTTGCAGTTGCACGCAAAAATCCTCAAGTTGAAATTCTCTGTTTCAGTTAATAGTATCATAATAGAAACGTATCGTGTAACAGGAAATCATAAGGAATTATTATTATCAAGATATATTAAAAAATTATAATATATATAAGAATATATAACGAATTAGTATATTTCGATACGAGTGCGTAATAGTATATTGTGTTACTAGTGCGTAAAGTTCCACTTTTTCGCACGCATGTGTCGCACATCGGTTTTTCATGATAACCTGCTGAGTTCACTGTTCGGAACTATAGTGGGGGTGAAGTGGTTGTTTCTTGTGAACTTTACGCATGCAGTGCGGAAAAATACCTCTTTACGTACACTAAACCGTTTCAAAAAGTGCATTTTTTGGACAGGTATTAATCACAAAAATTATCTTGAGAATTTATTATCATTACTAGGAAACAAATAGAAGTCTAATAGAACTTCAAGAAAATTTTCTATAGAAGTCGAATAGAAATTGATTATGAAATATTTTGATTATTGAATTCAGAGCTTTATTCTACGTTTCTTTTTATAGAAAACGGCTCATTGAAACTATTTCATTCACCCTTTTTTCCTCCTCATCCTGCTCTTTCACTTTTTCACTGTTATACTTTTCCTATTTCAGCTTGTTTTCCTTCATTATGAGCCCTCGGGATGAATTCTTTTTCATTCATGAATATTTTTACTTCATGATGTATACCTCATATAACTGCTTCATAGTTTTGTACTGTTTTCCGATGTAACTGACATTTTTCTCAAGTCGCATTATTTCGCTTTATTGTGTTTCAATGTGTCTTCTTATACTTTTAGTAATTCTATGCTTATATCTTTTTTTGGGGTTTCTGTTTGCTACTTGATGAGTTATTTCATGTTTACTTTGCACAACATAATGTACAGCTGATAAACCTCAATCAATCAATCAATCAATCAAAGAGAAAATCAGTAGAAATTCATCTTTCCGTGGGAAGTGTGCGTTCGGTGAGTGCTACCACCCAGGGAAGGGTACTTCCACAATCCACACTGATAGAATGATGCATTTATTTTAAACGAGATTCGTTAACTATTAATGAATGGTAGAGTTGAATATGACCAAATGAATATTCGTTAACTATTAAGGAATGAACATTTGGTGCGACCGAATAGACCCTAACCTCCAACCAAAATCCATTCGTTAACAATAACTAATCCGTTCTATCAGTGCAATGGTCAAATAACTTTTCCCTACTGCTCTTCACTTTTCCTCGTCCGGGGATTGGTATCAGCCCTTCCCCAAACTCGTAAAAGTGAAAATCACTACGGAAAAATATCGTTCACGACTAGTGCCATGGGGTTCTTTTACTCGCGTGGTTGGCCAGTCCTCGCCTACGGCTCCGACGCCAACTCCACGGGAGTATAAAAAACCTCACGGCACTCGTCCGGAAATATACTATTTCATCACGCTGTGACGAAAAGTGAACTTTTCGGCACGCTCCGCGTGCCTAAAAGTCCAATTTCCGCCACATTGTGATGAAAAATATTGTTCGTAACTCGTGAAAAAAAGTTTTTTAGCTCGCCTTCGGCTCATGATATAAACCTCCCACTCGCCAAAAAACACTTTTTTGCACTCGTTACGAAATATACTATTTCTCACGAGTTTCGAACCCTATTTTTCATCACAAAATAGGGAAAGTGCCTGGCTGAAGGCCCTCGGGCGATGGCCGCATTGGCAAGTTAACCCTTGCAACGAAAAAACCGGTGAAATTTTTAGGGAAAGTGCGCAAAATTCCACTTCACGCACAATCGATGAAAATTGTATTAAAAAATTATTATAATCCTAGTAAAAATTCCAGCGATCCCAGAAATATTGCATACATCCCCTCAACTCCCCATTTCCCTCCAACAAATTCAAATTGAGTAAGATGTAAATTGAATCCATCGGAAAAATAACCGTCGATTTCTGAGCACCCTCGAGTCACCCTCGTCCTTGTTGCCCTTCGCATTCAAATATTGATCCAGCCTACTCCTCCGCCTATTGCTCTAGGTGAAACACAATCAAAACTTGCAATCGAATAAAAGCAATCACTTGAAAAAAATGTTTCTGAGGAGTGTGCGCAAAAATTTTTCTTTACGCACAAGTGATGAAATAGTACATTTCGACACTAGGCCGTGAGCAACTTTCCTGGCGAATATGAGGTTACAGGACAAGCTGAAAGCGAGTTCTGTAATCATATGAGGTAGAAAAGTAGTTCCCACGGCCGTGTGTCGAACAATATTTTTTGTCATCAGGCCCGAAAACCGCGGGCCTAGTGACGAAAATTACATTAAAAAATTATTATTATTATTAGAAAACAAATGGAATTCTAATATTATAGAACTTCAAGAGAATCCGTACAGAGGTCCAATAAAAATTGATTATGAAATATTTTTATTATCGGAATCGCAGCTTTATTCTGCAGTTCGTTTTATAGAAAATGTCTGATTGAAACTATTCCATAGAGAAAATCAGTACGCGGAGAGAATTATAGTATATTTCGAGGCGAGTGCCATGGGGTTTTTTACGGGGAGTTGGCGCCCGAATCGAAAGCGAGGACTGGCCAACCACGCGGATAAAAAAAAACCTATGTCACTAGTCGTGAACGATATTTCTCCGTAGTGATTTTCGCTTTTACGAGTTTGGGGAAGAATCAATACCAATACCCGGACGAGGAAAAGTGAAAGTCAGCAAGGAAAAGTAGTAAACATTACCATGGCGATAGGAGAGATTACTATGATAACAGTAAAAGGGTTTTCAACTGTCCCTACATAGTAATCCTTACTATGTCCCACGGTCATGCTCACCATGGGACTACTTACCGACATGGTAAGTATTACCGTATGGTCCATGGTAATACTTGCTACGTTACATGGTAATGCTTACTATGGTCCATAGTCATGCTTACTATGTCCCGTGGTAATGCTTACTATATTTCATAATAATGCCTACCATGTTCATAGAAATGGTTATCATGTGAATGGAAAATGATCCAATGAACATAGAAACTATCTCTGAATTAAACGGTTGAAATTTGTGATTGCCTCTTAAAGTGTTCATAAACTCAAGACGTTTGAGGCTTAAACTCTTTAAAAAAAATGAACAAATGGAACTTTCTGTTTGAGATTTTCCTATTAAATTCTACAATATTTTCGTTTGAAATTTATATCTTTATATAAATAAAAAAACTTCAATTAAGGTAAATGTACCTATGCCCGTCTTTGTCCCTACGCTCGTTCAGATCCTGCCAGCTATGACATTTCAATCATTTTGATAGTCCCAAGAGTCTATTAAGAGTGAAGTACGATTGGAGTTATTATTTTAGTCAATAAGAAAAGTTATAGACACCAATGTAGAGTGATTTATTGAATAATAAGAGAGAAAAATCACATTCACATCAACTCGTGCTACGACAGAGTTA